TAAACGCCCTCGCCGGCACGCACACAGCGCGCTCCGGATGGACCGGCTTGGCGGCCAGCCCTGCCAGCAGCTCGCTGGTTCAGACGAAGGTGCACGCAGCCCTGTGGACAGCTGCAGAGCAACCCTCGTGCTTTTTGTGTCCCCTGCCCCCAGCCCGCTGGCCGTCGGCACTGTTAATCCTCCTTGTCACCAAGGACAGACCGGTAGACCCTTAATCCGTCTCAAGCCCACTAACCCTTCCGCCTGCCTTGGCCGGAGTCGCACGCGTTGAGCTGTAAGCAGGCACTGGGCAGCCTGCCCTTTTGTTACGCTCCTCATTTTCAGTTGAGTTGCCTCAAAATGAGACACTTCCTTTCGCTGTAACTTCCGGGGGTTATTCAGGGCGCCAAGGCATCCAGCAGCCGGTCAGGGTTGTGGGTGCTGATGCTGTGTTGACCATCAGCCAGACTGAAATGGAAGTCAGTCATGAAGAAAACCAGAGAGGCTGAGATTCCCAGAGGTTTTTAGGACCCTTCCCACCAACGGTTCCTCCGCCACAGCTTTTTTCAGCCCTGTTTTACAGCCCATCCTCATTCGCCGACAGCCAGGTTTGTCACCTTGATCAGAGAATCGCAGAACGGTTTGGGCTGGAAGGGACCTTAAAGACCATCCAGTTCCAACCCCCCTGCCATGGGCAGGGACACCTTCCACCAGACCAGGTTGCTCAGAGCCTCATCCAGCCTGGCCTTGGACACTCCCAGGGATGGGGCATCCACAGCTTCTCTGGGCAACCTGTGCCAGTGCCTCACCACCCTCTCCGGGAAGAATTTCTTCCTGATATCCAATCTAAACCTCCCCCCTTTCAATTTAAACCCATTACCCCTTGTCCTGTCACTACAGGCCCTTGTAAAAAGGCCCCCCCAGCTTCCTTGTAGCCCCTTCAGGTACTGGAAGGCGCTGTAAGGTCTCCCCGGAGCCTTCTCTTCTCCAGGCTGAACAAGCCCCATTCTTGCAGCCTTTCATTGCAGCGATGTCATTTCAGAGGCAAGAAGCTGGTTAGTGTCCCGAGCAAACACGTTTCCCTGGATTACGTGTGCAGCCCTCCCCTCTCCCCGTACGCCTGTAACGCTGGCATTAGCTGTTGTTGCTTCTACACTGCAGCAGCCAAGACTGGCTGCCACAGCGGGGGCTCTGTCGGCTTACGGTAGCTCGTACCCATCCGAGCAGATTTTCCCGTCTGCTTCTCGTTGACGCTAACGAGGGAGCAGTAGGCCATTAACTGGCTTGGTGAATCTTACTCACAACGAGCTCGCTCAACACTCAGCATCTGGGAACTATTCTGCCTCCTCTAAACCGTTTCCCTGGAAAGGTTCTACCACATCAATAACACCCCAGAGTTTTCATTTGCATTTATATTAAAGCTGCTGCTGCTGCCTCCCATCCCGACTCCTGCTGCGCGTGGGTGGGGATGCGCTGTACGATGGCACACTCCTCCTCCTTCCCTAGCTCAGCTCCCTCTATTTGCTGCTGCAGGATGCTCAGGCGGTGTCGCAGAGCTGGGAAGGGAGCCAGCAGCCCGATGAGCTCAGCAGCGGGTCACCTCCTTGCGCCACCGCTCGCAGCTGCATGGAGGAGAAATGCCGTCCAGCAGGTCCGAGGGCTCCGGGCTGCGTGGTAGCTTCCAGCGTGGGAACTGGGTTGGAGGCCGACTGGAAAATGCAGCTACGGCAGCTGCTCATTCCCTAACCCCCTCTTCTCTCTTACAGGGGGCAGAAGAGCCTGGCTGCAAGGAACAGAGGTAGCCACCCCTGGGGTCCCAGCGCAGCCGAGGAGCTGGCGTGCTCCAGCCCGACCAGACCATGACACAGCGAGTTGGGAGCGTGAGATGCTTAGCTCCACTTGCCACCAGGCACCTGCCACAGGCCGGCACCTATTCTCCCCTCTAGCCTGAAGGCATTCCCCTCAGGGGCCAACTCCTGGCCCTATCCACCCAGGGTGCAGCTGGCACGGCTCACCGGAGCTCCTGCTCTGCTAGCGGGGGGGAAATCGAGGCTGGAACCTGTCAGATCTTTGCCCTGGCAGAAGGTGGTTTATTTCCAACCACCTGTTTACTTCTGCTTGCTTTTCCTTCCTCCTGGAAAACAAAGTTTAATTTGTTTAAGGATACCGTTGGCTGCAGAACCCAGTTTGATGTCAGATGGCAAAACCCAGCCCATCCGGTCGCTCTGCCCCTTCAGCAGCGCAACACCCCGCAGCACGTAGCCACAGCAGGGCGCTGGCAACTCGTGTTGGCCCCAATGGCCTTTCAGCCGGTAACCAGAGCTGCCATCCCATTTAAAACTCCGCCGATCCGGGTGTTGTTATCCTTGGGGAAAACTGCTCGGGGCCCCCCTCTGAAGCTCCTCGTTTGCTCTGAAGGAACAGCTTCCCTGTCTGCTTACATGGGCTGGGTTCTGCAGGGAGACGGAGCCGCCTTGCCCTGGTGCCCCTTCCTGGAGCGGCCAGGGATGGCGGGCGCTGCTTTTCTCGGCCTGCAGAGGAAGGGCCTGGGAGCTGGACCACTGCAGGCAAGAGGGTGCATGGAGGAGCTGGCAGAGAAGGCACAGGGTGAGAAGAAAGCCCTCTGTAAGGTCGGAGGGACTGCTCGACGCTTGAAACAAAACGACACCTCGGGAATTTAGCTCTTCCCGAAGCCAAGTTGTGGCACTGCCAGCTTTTTCACGCCGTGCAGTGTCCGTGAGAGCTCCACGCAGAGCTGCCCGCGCTGGACTGGCTCACCCCCGCTGCAGCAGGCAAGAGCGCGCAGGTTTTGGCAGGACACGTGCTGTGTACTCACTCTGAGACAACAGCGCTTCCATGAAGAAGCGGCCATTCTCTTTTTTTACATGTCTGTAACCTAGGGAGCAAGAACAAACTGAAAAAGGGAATTGGTCTTCGAGCCATTCTATATTTACCATTTTTGGCTGCAGATCGTTGAGCTTGATCCTATTACGAGAAATCCCTCCCCCGTGCTCTTAGACAATTTCCAGTATGCACACTTCAGTACGCCCACTACTTCCCCTGCCTGGGCCTTGTGTGTCGGGGTGCCCTGCCCTCCCAGGCAGACAGGAGGGAAAGACCACCACAGAGGGCACAGGCTCCGAGAGGAGGGCACCAGGAATTGCCATCAGAGGGCAGGGGAAGGGTACCGAATTCCCACCAGTGCTGACATCCAACCAGCTGCTGCTTAGGTCAGCCAAGCCCCACTGGTACCAACTCCCGAGTCTAACCAAAGCTTGGCAGGAGTCCTTATCCTTGCCTTTCTTCTTCCAAAAGGAACATACTTCCCATCTTGGGTAAGGGCAGTGGCAGGAGCTCCCCCGAAGGACATTTACAGTCTTCTAGCGAGGAAGCGTCTGGAACAACACTCCCACCTGCCGGGCCTTCTATTTGTTGCAGCCAGGAATTCAGCAGTATGATAGAAAAAACATCCCTTCAACCCAGCACCACCACCTCTGACTCAGAAGATTTTAACTTCATGCCAAGGCTGACGTCACAACCCTCCCGGCTGCAGGAGCCGGCAGCACTCAGCAGCGTTGAATCCCCCCAGCATGGCCGAACCTCAGAGGGAGAGCTCAGCTGTCAGCAGCCAAAGGACAACTTTCTCCCTATAAGGCCTCTTCCTAGGAGCAGGGAGGCCGTGAGCAGGCAGAACAGAGCAGCCACTTCTATTCTAACCTGCACCCTTCAAAGCCCTGAGCATCTCCAAGAGATTAAATACCTGTGTCAGCATGAATCAGAGAGGCCAAGCACACAACTGAGCCACCTGAAAGAGAGGGATACTGAGAATCACAGAACGGTTTGGGTTGGAACGAGGAGGTCTTTAAGGTCCATTCCAACCCCCCTGCCATGGGCAGGGACACCTTCCCCGAGGGCAG